GAATATAATTCATGAAATACAAATACTTCTTAAGTACAGTACTTTTATTTGAATGATTGTGTCCTGCTGGAGTGTGACATTTGTGTACAAACTAATACACTATCAGAGTTTTATATATTTATACTTCTCATTCAACCACAGTTAAATTCACTCTATCTAGGAGGCACAGTTTATATGGATAGTATTTATTTTTTACAATAACAAACTGGAATGGAAAACAAGAGAAAATGAAGTAAAAGTAACGACTTTCTACTTCTTGACTTGTTTAAAAATGTAAGAAGTAGAAAGTACAGATCATTGTGTGAAAATGTAAGAAGTAGAAAAAGTATGCTGAAAAATAATTACTCAAGTAAAGTACAGATACCCAAAAATTCTACGTAAGTACAGTAACAAAGTATTTGTACTYAGTTACTTTACAACTCTGGATTTAGTAGTTTACAATTAAATACAAAAATGCTCCAAAACTTATAATATTCAATATTACCTGTAGAATAAATGCATAATGACAATAAATCACCCCAGAATTAACCTAAAATGCTTAAAAAAAACTTGCATAGTGCACAGCATACACTCAGCATGTRTACTATTGGCAATATACACTTGCTGTGTATGTTGTGTTGCAATAAGAATTTGCAGTGTACATTTCTTCTTCTAACACAGTTCTGCTAATCAGCTTACAGCAGAACATTTTTCTTTAATTTAGCAGAAACATGTAAAATCGTTTAAAGGGCCTGTGATAACAAATTTTTGTAATTAATGTGAATGCGTTTTTGGAAAGAGAATGAGATGAGAATGAGATGAACAGCTGTTGAGATATTTGCATGTGAAGAAACAGGAAGTGATGTCAAAGGGGAATGTCTGCATGTAAACAGAGCGATGCTACAATAATTAAAAATGAATTGGGCTGATAAAACTTCCAAAGGCCTGAAAGCAATGTCTATAAACTTGGGCCACGACCACCTTCATATCAAACCAATAGAATCAAGCATTAACAGGTTAGTCCCACCTGTGGAAAGAGATAAAGATGAGTGACAATTGCCTTAGCAATTATCAATTTACTGTTAGCATTAGCTTCCGCTAATTTTTACTTGTTTAACGTTAGCATCCGCAATTTTTTTACATGTTTATTGAATTATCATTGGACAAACTATATATTTTTAGTTATCGGATTATGAGTTAGCGAAGCTAACATTTTGGTTAACAGCATATTTTGCTGTTGCCTCCTGTTTTGGCCTTTAGGTATACTACAGGTGCTTACAATCAAGTGACTGGCTGGTGCCAGCTTGTCAGCATGGCTTGTCCAGAGTTCAGGACTGGAGAGGATGGAATAATCTGCCTGCAGTCCTCACCTCAACCCTACTGAGTGTCTGTGGGATCAGCTTAGACGTGCAGTTTGTTCCAGAGTGATTAAYACAACCACAGTGGCTGACTCRCAACAAACGCTGCTGGAAGAATGGSATCTCACAGCAGAGTGTAAACAAGCTGCAGCGAGAGGAGCAGGTKTCAGGCTGTTGTGGCTGTGTATGGTTCTTCCACATGCTACTGTAGCCCCTGTTTGTTAAATGAATACATTTTTWAATTGCCAACATGTMTTTTTTCTTCAGAYTTCAATCATCCAATAGAATAAACGACAAACAAAAGTCAATATATGTAATAAGAAATACAAGAAAGTGATTTGTGCAACATTTTATGATGCCAACACTTGAGCCAACAGTATTGTGCAAGGTACGTAATTGCACTAATGTTTGTTGTATCAAAACAGTGTAAGCATTTACTGAGGAGAAATTGGCTTTTTTAATTGAAAACAACCAATATATTTTAGTGTCTTCAAGTAGTTCATGCGTTTATTTTAAAGCGTTAACAATTTTAAACAAAAGGAAACAAAAGGTTAGGTTTCTTAGCCCAGCAATGTTAAATTTGTTGATTTATTTTGTCCAGTTCAAACACACCATACTTCAGAGTTTTTGTGTGTTTTGTTTATACATTTACATATTTATCCCATACTTGTTTGTTGCATTGAATAGATTGCRAAACACATTTTTATCTGGCCTTTATCTAATCTGTCATTGTTTTTTGATTGGCCAATTGCTCACAAGGCCATATAATCTAGATTTATAATCATTAAGACCAGTTTGCATTTTCACACACACAAAGATTGACACTGTGATGTTTGTGGTAGCTGTTACCATGAGAATGACCTATAAACAGAACTTGAGGTCAGGTTCTGTTAATATGAATGCAGTCAGCTCAATCAGCATAATGTATGGATCATTTCAATACAATAAGGAGCAATAATTAAATTATACGTGTAAGATTTTTTTTAAACTTTTGCAAACTATTTGCCAGTAAAAACATGTCATCAAAACTATGATGAATATCACAGGAACACTAAAATTGCACGACGAGGCAATCGATGCGCTCGACAGTCGACTTCCGTCAGGACGGTTAATCGATTGTAGAAAGACTCGAGCGACGTGTGCAGAATAAACATGGAGCCAAAAAATTCTGGTTCGCTTCAGGAGCAGGCTCTGAAGAGAAAGGAGAGGCTAAAAGCACTGAGAGATAAAAAGCTTCACGTAAGTTTCATTCCTGGGATAGTTTAGTTCAGGATAAACTTTTAAAAATAATCATTATTCGTCCGTAACGCTAACACAGACTTAGCTTTGCGGCTAACTTTAGCATAAACGGAGCAAGGTATTTTGTAGGACTTTTGACACTTTCTAAAGTTCAGAAGATGTGTGTGGTGTTTTTATATGTTTTTTATGCACATTACGTTACGTGTTTTCGATTTGTTGTAATTTTTTTAGCCTTTCTTTCGATGCTAAGTTTACGAAGCTAACGTTTGTAAACAACTAGGCTGAAACTTTTATGCTACTGGACTGCTTTTATATTTAACAGCTATAATTTAAGTTGAAAAAAGTCTTTATTAAGATTTATATGCGAAATGCACGCATATAATAATTAGCGTTAGCTTCTTATTGGTGGTTTACATTTCAATACATCTTTACTAATAAGCAGAGATAATTCAGGATGTCAGTATTGRGTAAAAACAGTAAGTTTTTCCTGATTAAACCAAGGTATGGAGTCAGCATTTGTTCAGAGATCTTTTAAATAGAAATGTAGGGATTTACAAATAGTTTCTAAGGGTTAGATGCTTACTAAAATATTCAATTTCTTCACTCACTTTGAGCATTGTTTGTCTAACAAATGACAGGGATTGTTTTAGTGAAAGACAAACATTATTTTCCACTTGTTTATGAATTGATCATATTATTAAGCAAGCACAACATTGATTATGAACAAGATGTTTCRCTTCACATCCAGGCTTTCTCAGTTCAAAATGTGATCATGGATTGAATCATCAGCACACCGAACATTAGAAACTGTAAATATAGGTACCATATTTACTGTCCTTTTTCTTTTTTGATTAAAAAAATCCTCAGTTTTTTTTTGTCTAATTGAGTTTCATACAAGATGGTATGATTCTGGAATAAAGAGGTCAGCTCAGAATAGTTAAATAGTGTCACAGGTAGTTGAATGTTTTACACTTTAACATAAAATAATTTCCTTTTTCTTTACAAAAACATGCTAAAAGAAACTGAAGATGGCTTCTTCTTGTTTTCCWCAACTGCAAGCTCCAGGGGCATCCAATCCTGGTCCTCGAGGGATGCTATCCTGCAGGTTTTTTTGTTTCTCTGCTCACACACACTTGATTTGAATGAAGGAGTTAAAAGGCTTCTGCAGAACTTGAACAGGTAATTCAGTGACTGAATCAGTTGTGTTGGAGCAGAGAAACAAAACTGCAGGAGAGCAACTTTTGAGGTCTAGGATTTGGACATCCTTTGTACAAATGAAACACATCTGAGTTGATCTGGTTTAGGGTAAAGAGAGCAGGGTGACAATAAATACTGTGATCAATGTTTTATCAGTTAGTTTTACTGAACTGTGGATTATTCTGATTTATGATAGATGTCTGATAGTTGTTAATTATTACAAAATGTTTTTGTATTGTAACAAAAACTCACTCTAAATTTTACTAATGTTTGTATTAGAACATAAATCAGGTATAAGTTTCTTAAATATTCCAAATTTGTTACCAAATTCACATTTACCGGTACATTAAAACACACAACTTAGGCGGTTTCTAGTGGCCATTGCACTTATTTTATCCATGAGACAGTTCTCACCCCTCACCACTTGAGCTACACATTCGAGGACTGCAGAAGATTTCAGTTCCTCACATGGGTTTCTGAACGTTAGATTTGACACAATGACATTATTCTGCTTCAACGTGGCAACTTTTCTGTTGTAGAAATGAAGTCTTGCATGAGGAAACTCCTACTTATTGTGAGAAACACTGCTCTCTGTGCACGAGGGCATGTCTGAGAAAGTAAATGTTGCATATAATCTGGTAGCAAAGATTGATAAATGCTTGTTGACATTCCTCGAGTTTGAAGCTGTTGTCCTTTTTTTCTTTGTGCTGCGTTCGAGTCGTGAGTCATTGCCCTGAATTGTTCTAGCAGGTGGACAGGAAGTCTCTTCAGGAAAATGCAGGCTGGGAGGGGTTCAGTTTCCTTTGTTTCTGAATATCACTAGGGGTCTGTATTGTTTGTGTGTGTGTGTGTGTGTGTGTGTGTGTGTGTGTGTGTGTGTGTGTGTGTGTGTGTGTG